TTTTTTTTAAAAAGATACAAGTTATTACTCTGCTTGAAATCTAGTACAGCTTTCAAGATAAAGTTCAAAGTCCAAACCACCCAAGGTGCTTTATGATCTGGTTCCCACCAACGAAGTCAGCCTCATTTTCCATCAAAATATGCTCATTACTGCACATAAATAAGTATGCTTCATATCTCCTTTACCTCCTACTTGAAATATTCTGACATGTCCTTATCTTCTTTATCTGCAGGACCATACCTAAATACTGCCTTCCTGTAGTCCAATCTGCTGGCTGCCCTTCTCTTATACCCCCATCTCTAGTTACTATGCCCAACATTCTTGTAACTTATTTACTTGTAGTTCCCTTTTCCACTAGACTACAAAGCTTCTTTTTTTTAAAAAAAAATATATCTATTATTGATTTTTTTAGAGAGGAAGGGAGAGGGGTAGAGAGTTAGAAACATCGATGAGAGAGAAACATCGATCAGCTGCCTCCTGCACACCCCCTACTGGGGATGTGCCCGCAACCAAGGTACATGCCCTTGACCGGAATCGAACCTGAGACCCTTCAGTCCGCAAGCCAAGGCTTTATCCATTGAGCTAAACCGGTTAGGGCTACAAAGCTTCTTAAAGAGTAAGGTACTGAAGGGAAGAGTTTTTATGTATCATTAGATTTTGCAAGAAATGACCTAATATATAAATAGAAAATGAACTAATAAAATACCAATGACCCAATTATTTCAGATGGTTTTCGTGGCTGATTTTGCTCAGGCTACCAATGGTTACATTATTCGCAGTTATGGTACAGCCATACCTCGTTTTACTACACTTCAGGGATGTCACTTTGTTTGTTTTTTAAAACAAATTGAAGCCAAGACAGCTTACCAGCAAAAAGATTATGACTCACTTTATTGTGATATCAGCTTTATTGAGGTGGTCTGGAATCTAACCCACAATACCCTCTGAGGTATGCCTGTACTTTCTTCTATGGCTTCATCATAGATTAGGTAGAAGTCAAGTGTGGTTTTCCAAATAATTTCAAAATATCTTTCTGACAGCTCCATTTCCAATTAAAGAAAAATCAGGCATGTAAATATCAGAAACAATAGGCAAGTTAATTTTTCAACTCATCAATTCTTAATAGGAATTACCAGCCAAAGTTTTAAGAATTGCCTAAATAAGCAATGCTCTGTTAATTCTTTCAAAGGTTTACTTTTTATGTTACCTTCAAAAAGAATATGCTAACACATATAATTAGAACAGTGGTTCTCAACCTTCCTAATGCTACGACCCTTTAATACAGTTCCTCATGTTGTGGTGCCCCCCAACCATAAAATTATTTTCGTTGCTACTTCATAACTGTAATTTTGCTAGTTATGAATCGTAATGTAAATATCTGATATGCAGGATGTATTTTCATTGTTACAAATTGAACATAATTAAAGCATAGTGATTAATCACAAAAACAATATGTAATTATATATGTGTTTTCGATGGTCTTAGGCGACCCCTATGAAAGGGTCGTTCGACCCCCAAAGGGGTCTCGACCCACAGGTTGAGACCCGCTGAATTAGAACCAAACGTTTTTGCCTCGTAACTTCTAATGACCAACAGCATTTCCTGACTATAAACCACTAAAATTCAACAGTGACTCTGTACTAAAACTTATTAGATGTTCTATTCCTTAGAAAGTCAGAAATCTTGAGTTCCTTGGCACTGTCATTACTTTAACTTAACTAAAAAATACTCCAAGCAAAAATAATTTTGTTACTATTTGTTCTTCCAGCAAATCTGCAATTATGGGTTGTTACATCACCACTAGCCCTGTTCTTTTAGGTCACATCTGTATCACATAGGTCGTTCGCATACAGTGGGGCCTTGACTTACGGGTTTAATTCGTTCCCAGACGGAGCTCGTTAAGGAGCTCGTTAACTCAAATTACTCTGTCAACTCAAAGCAAAAAATCCGCAGAGAGACAGCTGATCTCAAAAAACTCATTAGTCGGGACACTCATAAGTCAAGACCCCACTGTACTAACAAAATAAGGTATATTTACCTAATCAAATTATTATGTTTTGACATAAAGATGATATCAAAAGCCAAAAATATAACGAGCTGTTTTATCAATGATAATCATTAATTACTTACAAGTCAGCACTTAAACTTCAGTGCTTACTTATAAAGAGGACAAGATTGGTATTTTGGGTGAGTTTTTGTAACCTGACTACTTCCTGAAATTATCCAAATAGTAAGAAATAATCTCTTAGAAAACAAGTACATTTCAGGAAATAATGCAGCCAAAGCAAAACTAGTTGTGGTTTAAATATTTTGCTTTTGTTAATCAGGGAATATTTAAATAGTTCTGAAAACCAAATTACTGTCCTTTTAAAAGCAGAAAACAACGAGTCACTAATATTATATTAAAAGGCTGCTGAAGCCAGGGCATGTATCTCGATTGCAGGTTTGATTCCTGACCTGATCAGGGCTCGCAGGAGGCAACCAATCAACGTGTTCCTCTCACAAGGATGTTTCTCTACCTCTCTCTCCCCCTCACTCCCTTCCACTCCCTAAAAATCAAGGGGGGAAAAAATTCTGGGGTGAGGATTAACGAACAGCTCCTGAAAAATAATTTAGCAAGAATAGCCATAATCTAAAATATATAAAATGAAGATTTTTTTGCAAATAAAAGCAATAAAGTAAAGAGCTTAAAAAATTGTCAGGGTAAGCAATTTTCTATCTTCTATTCACTGAAAAATTACTAGCATAAACTACTCATTTATGTTTCACTTTAACTTTACTATAGGTATATTCCTTACTTTTGGAAAAGAATAATAATAAGTGAAATCTCAATTCAAGCAGAAAAACATTACACTGGTTTTATGAGTTGGTTTATTATGCACACCAAAGAGTTGATTACCAACTCTTTCAGGTATTAATACTGACAACTAATTTTTATAATGAAATTATCTCAAAGCATCCTCTGGATCAAAGATGAGCTTTATTTGATAGATATGATAATGAGTTTTACTGAATTCTTTGCTTTGAAAATTGGGTGATCTAAAATGGGAAAATTCTAGAAGTTGCAATTTCAAGTGCCTACAGATTCTATCTAGGTAGGAAAAATAAAGTGAATCTGGTAGAACTATGACAAACCCCATATTAAAAAGGGAACCAGCTGCCACTCTGTCCCAAGCCATTTTTGCTCGTGGGAATGAGGGCCTAGACAGGGTTTTGTTTTTTTAAATGCGAAGATTGTCAGCTTTTAAAACACTTCATGGACCAAAGTGGGTAAAGCCACTAGTAAATTATGTATATTCAAAAATATATATATAACAATTTTGTTACCAAATCAGACAGAAAGAATCACTTTAAAAGTAAAATAAAGCAGTAAAAATTGCTCTTGAGATTGGGAATGAATAATCCTGATTTGTTAGATATTAGTATAACTCACATATATTCAAATTATTAAACTAAATACAATCCCCCAAGTTTGATTTAATTTGATTCTTAATCTCTTTATCTCTAGGGTCATAACATTTCATAATTACTCTAACTCAATTTATTTCTCCTACATTTCTCCTACTAAGCACGTCATGTATTACTTATTTCTCATGCTTTAATTGCCTGCCTCTCCCAGTACATTTAAATTTCTTAAAGCTTGAGAGGAATTGTGTCTATTGTATCCTTAACAGCACACAGGCAGGGGGGCTCACATTGGCTGAGATAGAAAAAAAGATTGAAATTATCAAAATCAGAACTGCTGAAAAACATTTTTTGATCCAACCCATCTGTTGGCCAACTTTTCCAAGGGTCTTTTAGAATTATAAACATCTACTTATTGACCATTATCTTCCCTAATACCTTATTGCCATTTATGTTGAGATTAAATCATCAAAAAGGGAAGAAAGCAGAAAATTCAGTTAAGACACACAGAGAATAGAATAGAAATCTGAAAGTGCCTTCCACGTAAAAAAAAGTGTTAAGTATTGTTCAAGATACAGTCTTACCCCAGGATGTTTTACTGCGTTCTAATTCTGTGAAATTCTTAGATGGTATCCATAATTCTGAATATTCAATTATCCAGCATATACAGTTTCTTATCTACCCAGGATAGAAAGGAATTTTGCTGTATTCAAAATATCTCTTTCTACCTAAAAATATTCAAATTTTGTGTAATACCAAAAGTTCCAGAAAGAATCAAATATAAAAATAATACAGTTAAAACTAGATTTGGGGATGTTAACTGAATAATCTTTTGAGTAACACCCTGGTAGAGCCAGTTAATTAATTGGCTGTACAAATAACAGGAAACTCTGTGACAATGCTTTATACTGCTATGAAAGAAAACTAGATTGATGTGAAGAGATATTTGGTAGGTTAAGAGATGCTATACTCTAGACCACAGGGACACCCACATAGTATACATAACAAATGACTAATTCATTAAATTACTCTTTCTTTCAAAAGAAAAGTACAACTATGGCATATTCAAAACAGAATTACAATGTAATGCAAGAAACGTAAAGACTAAGTTAAAAATTACAACTAGATAGATGCTGAATTTTAAGCACAAAATTTTAAATTGTTAATACTTACAGGTCCCATAATTGTGGCTTGCCAATGAAACACTAAAATCAAAACAAAACAAAAGAACTCTTGTTATCTAAAAATGTAAAGCTTTTATGAAATTAGCCATAAAAATCAACTTGAAAGTTACTTACTATCATCCCCAACTGGACCTGCAGAACACTGTGCTGGAGGGTCACGGGCCAAATCACTAAGTTCCTACACCAAAGCAGAAAATTATAATAAGCAAATTATAATAAGCAAAGAGTCAATTTGCTTATACCCAGACCCCATTTTCAATAAAACCTGGAAAAAATTTGTTCTGATACACTCTGCTAATTTGCTTCTGAAAGTCACACCACAACTGCTTATAAGGTAATCAAGACAGCCAGAAAGATCCCAGGATTCACAATTGCTAGGATGATATATAATAGCAAATGCTTCCAGTTCATTTTCACCTCATTCTTTTAGAAACATACAATCACTATTCACAATAATAAATAGACTCTATTAGAAGCGGAAAATGGTTACTTAGTGGACACATCCAAGACAACCACCTTGGCTAGGTGAGTTCACAAAAGTATATATAGACAGCAATATGAAATTTTTTATTACCTGAACAGCTGTCCTTTTACAAACCAAAAAATTGTAATCAGGTATTTTCATAGCTTCAGAACTAGATAAGGCAGTTCTCAAGATTCATGTCATGTGCTGAATTTTCCAGACCATCTCAGAGGCCCTCATTTTTACTATCTTAAATTCTGTTTTTCTGAATCAAACGATACCGAGACCCCATTTTCCACTTGAAAAGCCTAATTTTGGTTTGATCTCCTTAATTCCCTCAACTTAGTATTGAGTAAAAAAAAAACAAAACAAGGTTGAGTAAAATTACAACTCCAGAAGAACCTACCTCTCTAGGTAGAATTCTGCTCTTAGCAACTAACACGCAGTTTCCATAATTCCATCAGACCTTTTATTTACAAAAGATATGCACGTGGCCCTTCCATGACTTGTGCATAACAAATGTGGTTTACCTAGTGAGAATAAAGTTCACTACTAGGTTTAAAAAAAATTAAGATGATATATATTATATATAAATCCTCATAGGATAGGCCCACAAGGTAACACTGGGCTTTTTTAGATGAATGAGAACTAAAGATAACTAGAACAAATATTTGCCTTTATCATATGATCAAAATGCACTTCAGCAAATGGTTAACCCTAGCCGGTTTCACTCAGTGGACAGAAGGTCGGCCCGCAGACTGAAGGGTCCCAGGTTCCATTCTGGTTAAGGGCACATACCTCAGTTGCAGGCTTGATCCCTGGCCCTGGTCAGCCATGTGTGGGAGGCAACCAATCAATTTTCCTCATACATCAATGTTTCTCTCTTTCTCTCTCCCCTCCCTCCTTCCACTCTCTCTAAAAATATTTGGAAAAATATCCTCAGGTGAGGAATAAAAACAAAAGAAAAGAAAATGGCCAACTGTTCAGGAATGATAAGTCTGGATTTACTCCATTAAAAAAAAAAATCAGTCAAGAATTTTCCTTGTGGTTATCATTTTAAAATATATATTAACCAAAGTATTATGTGTCCATCAACAAACCAATGTTTTATGCTAATTATCTCAATAAAACCTGGAAAAAATTTGTTCTGATACACTCTGCTAATTTGCTTCTGAAAGTCACACCACAACTGCTTATAAGGTAATCAAGACAGCCAGAAAGTTCCCAGGATTCACAATGCTAGGATGATATATCAGACCAGACCCTTATGCTTCCTACATAAGTATACTCTCAAGTTTAACATAAATTCATTCCAAACACTTTTGATTCTGATCAGTAGGAGTTACAGGAACTCTTATCTCAGGGTTAAACAATAGATTAAGAGAAACCGTCCATATTTCAACTTTTAAGAAACAACTTACAAAGTATCAATTTATTCTGAAGTAAGTATTAGTTTGGTTTTATTGAGTAAAAAGTGTACTGGCAACTTGAATTAACTATCCATTATTGGGCAAATGATTTTTTTCACAGGCTAGATCAAGTCTTATATAACAATTATTTGCATTCCATGATCAGCCACTTTTATTATAATGGCAATCTACTTTAACACCATCTCAAGATATATGTACTTTATTGTAAGAATCAAGCATAGTCTTATATGAACCCAGAATTTTCCTATGTTCTAAAACTTACACAATAAACTCTATTGTGTAACTAGCCCACTAAAAAGAAGAGAAACCGGAAGCTAACTTATGCAGCCTACTTCCCTCTTTGCTTAAGGAACATAAAGATCTAACACTTACACATCCAATTCAAATGCTCAAACATACCATCCTGAAATAAGAACATTATGTCCTCCTTGAATAGCGTATCATTTTGAAGTCTTACTTTTAATCCAATCTAGACCCACTATTTCCTAGGTTTATTTCATCATCTCTAAAATAGCAATGTCTATTTGTATAGAAGTTTGGAGAAGATGAATGAGAGTTAAAGCACTTTGGCACACAACCTGGCGTATGATGTACTAGGTACTCACCAACAAGCAGACCACTTGCATACCACCCATCCTGAGTAGGCACTCATAATTTGTTTATTAATAAGCAATATTGCTTCATTAATAGGCTACATATTAAAGCATTAGCCCTTAAATCTTTTGTCTGTGAGGAATCTTTACGATTAGCTGTCTATAATGCAGTTAAGCAATTATACTGCCATAACACAAGATCAGCAGTTGAAGAAATATGTGTAGATGGGGTTTTAAAGAAACCATGCTATTAGCCTGAGTCATATAAAATTACAGTGGGGCCTTGACTTAAGAGTTTAGTTCGTTCCGAGACCGAGCTCGTTAAGGAGCTCGTTAACTCAAATTACTCTGTCAACTCAAAGCAAAAAATCTGCCAAGAGACACCTGGTATCTCAAAAACTCCTTAGTCGGGACACTCGTAAGTCAAGGCCCCACTGTACTAATATTTGACCATTTTTAAACAACAGAAACTGCAAAATTTTTTATTTGGAAAGGTGGAAATTTATTGGGAAACAAATACAGGCTCCCACATAGGGAGGGGGTCCCAAGGAAGTGACACACTAAGCTCCTTTTCCCTAGAAACTGCAATTTCATGTGGTTCTACCTAAAAATGTCCAGTAAGCATTTGAATTCAATTATTACAAAAAATGAGTTTCTTACATTGATCTACCCCAAATTATGTACTGAATAAATACATTATGTTCTGAGTATAATGAGCTTATTAAAAAATACCTGAAAAAAAATACCCAGCAGTTATTTTTAAATAAAAACCAATGACAGTTTTTTTAACAAAATATAGTAATGTTAAAACAACTTCATTACAAATAAACGTTCAAGAATATATAAGTTGACCTAGAATACTGTGTTAATATACTACTTGAAAGTTACACATTTTAATTAAGAATTAAGATCAAGAAAATATTTCTTACAGTTTTTTTGCACACTGATATTTATGAATCACTAAGCCTTTATATGTTGGCATTATCACTCCTTTAGAGTAAAGGTCTAATTTCAGCTAGTTAACAATGAATTTCAACTTTTTAAAAAAATATATTTTATTTTTCAGAGAAGAAGGGAGAGGGAATAGAGTTAGAAACATCCATGAGAGAGAAACATCGATCAGCTGCCTTCTGCACACCCCCTACTGGGGATGTGCCCACAACCAAGGTACACGCCCTTGACAGGAATCGAACCTGGGACCCTTGAGTCCGCAGGCCAACGCTCTATCCACTGAGCCAAACCGGTTAGGGCGAATTTCAACTCTTTACTCCCATTAACTGCGGGTTCTCATTGCTTAGTTTCTAAATGCCTTATTTTGCATGACCAAGACACCTCTGAATAATCAAAAGACCTGAAATCAGGCCAATTAATTTATGTACTAAAATCTACTTAAATTGAACATTAAAAAGTGACCTAAATTATTTTAAGGATCAAAACAGGTTTTTAAATTAGGTAACAGCATTTACGTCTAAGATAATAATTGTCATACATTATTATGTCCATAGCACAAGCAAATAGATATAAAAATATCTTAGCAGAGGAGAAAAAAGCATAGTAAAGTCTTCTTAGATGTGTTCTTCTATGCAGCAGACATTTTGTCTACTCAATAATGCATCTTATCCTACTTTCATGGAAATACTTTTCCCTTACTCCAAACATGTGATTATAGTGTGGGTGATCTGTCAGCCACCAAAAACCAATTACTTAGGGCTAATCACAGAATTTGTTCCTTCAGCCTCAGTGATTAGCTCAGAGTTGGAAAGTAACCAAAGCCACAACTTGACTTTATCAGTTTGTCCATGTATACCTGCCCAAGATTTTTCAAACTGGAGCTAGAAGTAACATTTCTCCCTTCTCTAACTAGGTCCCATTAAGAATGTGGCTCAGAACTGTTGGCAAGCATGTGCCCTGAAATTACATGGTGAACCCAAAGAAAAAGAGACCACATTGGGTGACAGAAAGCAAAAAGCTGATATGGCATATAGATAGGCACTTTCAGGCTCCGAGGTTATAGCTTGCTCTGGTTCCTATAGCTATCTGTTGCCTTGATTGTTAACTAACCACCAGTTTTCCTTCGAGTAAATCCAAGAAACAAAAATAGACTTATTTAAGCAGAGTGCTAATGGAACCCATTACCAATTATACAGATTTTATCCCACTAAAACATTCAAGTAATGCTCAAGTACTGCTGAAAAGCATTTAAGAAAACTAATCAAGTCTCAAAATTAAATTGGAGGGACAGGAAGAAGTTACATATCTGGTCTAGCAAAGAGGTAACTTTCAATCTAATCACAGAAACTAGAGATTCATTTAAACCCATTTCTAAAAATGAAAAATGTAACATTAGCTATTAGCTAAAGTTTCACCACCAAAACATTTATTCATTAGTATGAAGACAACCTTTTTGGTGTAAAGCATGTTAGGTCTGAAAACACCAAGATAAAAAACGCATGAATGCCTCCCCCAATAGACTGAGCTAACATAAAAGTAGGCATAATGCAAAAACAAAAATTACATTTCAACAACCTAGGCACTTAAAGGCATTCAAATGCTTTGCCTGGGTCTACAACATGACATTTGAACTGAGTCCTGATGGAGGGATAAGCATTTTAAATAGAGAAACTCATTCAAAGACAGAATGTGAAAGAACACAGGTTGTAAAAATTTGATTGTATTTTGGTATATCATAGAC